TCATAACTGATTAGTCGACTGGTCAGAGACTTTTGCTAACAGGGCTTGATTTCGTGAGTCGACTCATAACAGGCATGAGTCGACTCAACCTGATGAGTCGACTCATGTTCATGTATGAGTCGACTCACGAGCTGAAAATTGGATTCTTCGAATCTGCTACTCGTCGTCTCGTTCCACGCTTCCACCTACGTTCCACTGTACTGTTTTATACCCCTATTCTCATACTATCATAAGAATCATCTATCCTCAAGCTCCCATGAGGATCTCTAAGCTCCCGAGGAGAAGATACACCCGTATCATTCATCATGTCTCGACACCAGTTGAACTTCTCTCGTGTGAGTGATTTGGTCAGCACATCTGCAACTTGCTGGTTCGTGTTCACATACTGCAACTCTATCATCTTTTGTTCAATCAGGTCTCATATGGAATGTAGCCGAGTGTCTACGTGCTTTGTTCTATTGTGATGCACCGGGTTGTTACCAATTGCAATTGTCGACTGATTATCACAATAGAGTATTGTTGCACCTTTCTGCTCACAATCTAACTCTTCCAATAAGCGCCTTAACCATACACCTTAGCATGCTGCTGATGTTACTACATTGTACTCAGCTTCTACGGTTGATAATGCAACTATTGACTGTTTCTTCGAACTCCAACTTATTACGCTGTTGCCAAAGAAGAACACCTGACCTGTTGTGCTTTTTCGATCATCTATGCTACCTGCCCAGTCACTATCGCTGTAGCCTATCAAACATGGTTCATCAACACCCTTGTACCACAGACTATAGCTTGTTGTACCTGCAATGTACCTAAGAATTCGCTTTGCTAATTCGCTTTGCTGCTCCCATGTGTTGTTTAGTTGGATTCTGCATGTATCTCGCAACCATTCCAACTGCATGCGTGATGTCTAGTCTTGTGTGCGTCAAGTACAACAGACCTCCCACCAAACTCGTAAACCGAGTTGCACTTGCAGCTCCAGTTCCATCAATTGCTATCAACTTATCGTTTGTATTCATTGGAATTAGTATGAAATTGCAATCTTTTAATCCGAACTTTTCTACCAAGTCTCTTGCATACTTGCGTTGAGACACAAAGATTCTCCCCTTCTCTTGTTCAACCTCCAGACCTAGAAAGTAATGCATTTCTCCTAGATCAATCATCTCAAACACACGCATCATTTGCTCTTTAAACTCCTTCACCATTACGTCATCTGTGACAAAATAAATCATATCATCAACATAAAGACATACCATTGTTAAACCTCCTTTTTTTTTGCGTTTGACATAGAGATTAGGCTCATTCTTGCTTCTCTCAAATCCCAATTTCTGAAAATGTGCATCAATCTTGCTGTACCATGCACGAGGGGCCTGCTTCAAGCCGTATAATGCTTTGAAAAAACAGTACACCCTATGTTCTTTGCCCTTCACCTCAAACCCTTTTGGTTGCTAAACATAAACTTCTTCTTTTAGTTCACCATTGAGAAATGCTGACATCACATCAAATTGATAGATAGGTTGTCTCAACTAGGCTGCCATTGCCATCAACAACCGAACCGTTTTAAATCTAGCCACCGGGGAGAACGTCTCTTCATAGTCTATGTCTTGCTTTTGTGCATATCCTTTTGCCACTAATCTTGCTTTGTATTTTAATACACTGCCATCTAGACCAAATTTAGTCTTGTAAACTCATTTAACTCCAATTGCATTGCGATCTTTTGGTAATTCCACCAACTTCCAGGTTTGGTTTTGCTCAATTAAGCTCATTTCTTCTTTCATTGCTTGCACCCATTCCTTTCTTTCCAGGGCTTCTTCATAGGACAATGGATCTGCTACATACAAAACTTGAGTTACTTCATACAATTCTTGTATGGATCGTACCTTTCTTCCTTGTGTATCCAGATCAACCATCCGATTTGAAGTGCTACTCGAGCTTGGGCTGCTTTGTGGCTGCTCACTACAATCTTCTTCTTCTTCATCTTCTATTTCAGCTATTGATGTGTTGTTTTCCGCCATAGACCAACTCCAACTAGCATTCTCATCGAACATGATATTTCTACCGACTATAATCTTCTTTGTCGAACATGATATTTCTACCGACTATAATCTTCTTTGTCACCGGATTAAACAACCTATAACCTTTAGATTGTATGCAATACCCAATGAACACACACTTTTCACCTATAACCTTTAGATTGTATGCAATACCCAATGAACACACACTTTTCAGATTTTGAGTCCAGTTTTTTTCGATTTTGTGTACTTATGAGAGTGTAAGCAATGCACCCAAAAACACGCAAATGCCCCCACATTGGGCTTCCTTTCAAATCACGCTTCAAACGGTGTTTTGTTCATCACTGCCTTGGTTGGTGACAGGTTTAGAACATATACCATTGTTACTACTGCTTCAGCCCAAAAACTATTCGGCATACCTTTAGATTTTAGCATACTTTTTGCTAGTTTTACTACCGTGCGGTTCTTGCATTCAGCTACACCATTTTGCTCAGATGTGTATGGAGTGGTCAACTGCTGTAACACCCCTTCTTTCTCACAAAACTGCTTGAATTCTTTTGATTGAAACTCACAAACACGATCTGATCTTAGAGCTTTTAGCCTAGCCCCTGTTTGTGTCTCTGCCATGGCTTTGAATCTTTTGAACAACCCAAATGCTTCACTTTTATAACTAAAAAAATATACTCAGGTCATCCTGCTATAATCATCGATAAATAACATGAAATACTTACTTCCTCCCATGGATTCAACCTCCATAGGCCCACACAAGTCAGTATGCACCAACTCGAGTACCTTGGTTGCACGCATCTACTGATCTTTTGGAAATGGCAGCTTCAATTGCTTGCCAAACACACATCCTTCACATAACCCGATTTCACCAATTTCGGGTAACTCATTCATCATTTTCTTTTGATTCAACACTTTCAAACCATTCATGTTTAGATGACAATACCTTAAATGCCATAGCTCATTGGAACAAATCTCCTTGACTACAAGTGCCTTGTCTTTCACCTTGGCTATCTCCAGAGGGAACAAGTTGTTTTGTGTCTTCTTGATTGTTGCCATCGTCTGATCCGTGGCTGCATCTACAATTTTGTAGTTGTCGCCTTCAAACTTGATAGTACACCCGTTGTCCATCATCTGACCGATGCTGAGTAGGTTCTGGAACAATTAGGAATATAGTACACATCATGTAGCATCCGTGTATTGTGACTGCTGGTCTGCACAGCTACTCATCCTTTTCCTTCAACATGAATCTCTTTATCGTCACCAAGCTTTAATGCCTTCTTGTATGACTCATCTAATTTATCAAACAGATGTTTGAAACCCATCATATGGTTTGAGGACCCGCTGTCCAAAACCAGATTCGACTCACATCTGATTCTTCATCGGCTTTGGCCATGAACAACCGTGCCTGATTGCTCTTCTCTTCAACAAAACTTGTCTGTCCTTCTTCTCTTTTCTTCTTGTAGCAGTCGGCTTGCACATGATCGGGCTTGTGGCAGTAATAGCACTCCACGTCTTGACCTTCTTCTCTCTGTTTCTTGTAGCAATCGGCTTGCATATGCTCTTTCTTGTGACAGTAGTAGCATTCTACATCTTTCTTCGGTTGATTAGAATGCGGTTGATTGTAACTTGGCTTGCCTCTACCTTTGCCGCCTTGACTGCTTCGACCTCTACTGTTACCTTAGCCTCTACCTCTGCCTTGTTGTTGGCTTCTTGAGGAATTGCCCTTGGTATAGAAAGCTTTGGTGTCGTCCTTCACTTCTGATCGGTTGAGACGAACTTCATAGACTTGCAGTGATCCCATCAACTCATCAAACGTGTAAGTGGACAGATCTTTGGATTCTTCGATCGCCGCCACCACATGATCGAACTTGGTTGTCAGGCTACGCAACACCTTCATCACAACCGTTTTTTTGGAAGATCTTCTCCACAGCTTCGGATTTGGTTGACTATTGTTGTAACTTGCGTGAAGAAGGATTGAACCTGGAAGATCTTCTCCACAGCTTCGGATTTGGTTGACTATTGTTGTAACTTGCGTGAAGAAGGATTGAACTGACTCGCCTTGTTTCATGTTCAATGTTGTAACTTGCGTGAAGAAGGATTGAACTGACTCGCCTTGTTTCATGTTCAATGTCTCAAACTCTCGTCACAAGCCCTGCAACTTGATAGCTACCACCTTGGAACTTCCCTGAAATGCGGTTTTCAGAGTAGACCAGGCCTCGTTTGCTATTTCTGCTGCTGCAATCTTCACAAACACCGATTCGTGTACGGCTTGCTGAATGAAGAAGAGCGCTTTTGCATCTCGCTTGGTTGTGTCAATTGGTGTCGGATCAGGATCCGGTATTCACTTGTCTACTAGTTCCCACAAGCCATGAGATTTCAGCATAGTTCACATCTTGATGCTCCAGAATTCATAACTCTCACCCTTGAACAAAGGTATTATCTGTTTAGACATGTTGATGGTTGCGTTGTTACCTTCTTCGGTCATTGGATCAACCTTACGCTCTGATACCAATTTTGTTGGAACTTTTTAAAAGAAACAAGCAGAACACTTCAATTGATTGTATTCACACAACTTAATTAATTCATCAACAGATACAAACACAATACTTAAGATGATGCATATTACTAATTTTGCACCCACTAACTCCAATACACTGCTGCTCTCATTAGCCTATAACTAAACCCACTACATGACTTAAACTAAATATAGAAACTACCCACTGCTCCCTGCACACCTCTAAACAGAGAACGTGTTGCCTAAATTTAACAACTAGTTTATAATTAATTCTTAACAACAAAATAAACCTGCAACTAAACCGTAACTTCTAGAAACTGCCTCTCTTATGCACTTTGCTGCTGACTTGGATTATTTTAAACACCCTCAACGTCTCGTCTGCGATCCTATTCTCAGCGGCCACAGGCATGATGGCGCTGGTCAACAAGATGTAGCCGTCCCAGCTGGCCGAAGAGCAAAGGAAAGCCATGCAGCTCTACAAACAGCTTGAAAAGTCCATACACACTACCATCGCCATAGGATCCTCTCCTACTGAAACAGACGTAGACGAGGCAGTGGAGAAACTCCTGGCAATCGACAGGGCTTACCCTCTCCCTCTCTTACCATTGCAAGATAAGTTTCCGAAAAAGGTAGAGCCTGCTGTGTGGTGGCCAAAGCTCAAACCTAGGAAGCGGGTGATGACGAAGAAGAAGAACAATGGATGGAGCCAGGAGCTAGAAGCGGAGATGAGGGGAGTTGTTCGGCTACTGAAGACGAAAGATCAGAATGAGTACAGACATGTCGGAGAGATCGCGGTGAAGATTAACACGATGCTGGCCATATCGGGTCCTGTGCTCGCTGGACTCGCTGCGGTCAGAGCGAGTGCTTCTTCCTTTTCCTCAGTTGGGGGGTGGCCAGCGATGCTGGCGGTGGTAGGAGGAGCGATGGTGACGTTCGTGAATACCCTAGAGCACGGAGGGCAGTTGGGGATGGTGTTCGAGTTGTTTAGAAACTATTACGGATATTACAAGGAGATGGAGGAGGAGATTGAGAAGAACTTGGGGGAGAGGGAAGTGGATAAGAGAGAGGATGGGGAGGTGTTCAGGATGAAGATTGCTCTGAAACTTGGGAGGAGTCTCTCTGAGCTCAAGTCCCTGGCTTCTTATGTTTCTCCTTCTTCACGTACAGGCGAAGACATCCAGGAGTTTGTGACAAATGAAAAATTATAACAATTAACTCTTATCAATAGGGAATACACATCTCCTTCAGAACCATCCGCATACGAGCTAGTGGTTTCTCAATCATGGATTAGTGGGGTGAAATGACTAAGTTTTTGTCCCCTACTCGACCTCTGCTCATATGGGGTTGTTCTTATTGGGTTTTCCTTCTATGTGAAGGATGGCTCAAAGTTGTATCGGATGTCTTATGTTATAGACTCAATAGTTTGGTTTTTAACTGAAGCCCATTGACCCACTTGGTCCGTTGTTACGTCTTTCCCAAGCGTGGATTAGATCAAACTGAGAGAAATAGAGTTTTAACAAGAAAGAAAAGTGAGAAAACCAGAAAACAATAAGGTCTACCATGCAGTTTTTTTTTTTTTTTTTTGCTGAAGAAAAGTGAGAAAACCAGAAAACAATAAGGTCTACCATGCAGTTTTTTTTTTTTTTTTTTTTGCTCGACCGGCAACAATCAACTCATCCATCAGAGGTTCATCCATGGTCCGATTGAGCTGAAATTTGGTGAGCAGGTAGGATACTCATTGAACTTCATTTTGGACAAAAATATGGTTAATTGGTTCTGTGTAGCTTCAAAATTTGGCTTCGGACGTCAACTAAGTTTCTGGGTGAGATTTTCAGTTTCTTTTGTTTTGTGATGTTGATTCCATTATTGTTGGGAATTAGAGTTGTATACCCATTGTGTGAGCTTGGAGAAGGATTTTGTAACCAATTTTGATTATATGGAGCTCTTGTGATGGACTTTTAATCTCGTGGTTTTTACTCTCTGATTTGGAGGGGTTTCCACATAAAAATATGATGTTAGTTTGTGATTGTGGTTGGGTGGTATTTGCTAATCTTGGTTACTTCATATTTGCATCCATCTAATTCCTAGTTCACATCTGATCTTGGGCTTGGGATCATCTCTATGGTTCGTAACAAAGTGGTATCAGATCAAGATGAACATAACGTGTTTGTAAAATTGCTTGAAGAGTTTTGGCCTCTTTGTTGTGTTGTCATGGTTGAATGATAGTGATAAATATGAACCCAAATAGAATGATTAGCTTGAATGGCACAATTATCAGATTTGGAAGGGAAAAAATGAGAGATTTCTTGTATGTGAAGAGTTGACATTTATCAGTGTTTGCTAAGGAGAAGCCTGTTTCTATGTCCAATGAAGAATGGGGATTTGAGAATGAATAAGTTTGTGGCTATATTCAATGTTCTCAACCATATTTGTGAGGAGACTAATACACGAGATTTGTGGGATAAACTTAAATCCTCATATACTCCAAAGACCAGTAACAACAAGTTGTTCTTGATCAAGAAGTGAATGAGTTTGATGTACAAGGAAGGGTGCACTATTACTGACCACTTGAGTGAATTTCAAAGGATTATGCAATAATTATTGTCTATGGGTATACAGTCTGATTATGATGTTCAAGCTCTTTGGTTGTTAAGAACTTTATTGGATTCTTGGGAGACATTTCAAACATAACTTTGTAACTCCATCCCAAATAATGTTGTGATAATGGAACTACCTAAAGGTGGTGTCATGAATAAAGAAATGAGGAGAAAGTTGTTGGAATATTCAAGCCGCGGAAGATAAAACTTAAACAATCAAGAAACCCAAAATCTACCAAGCAATCAAGACAAACAGTAAACAACAAGATTTAACGTGGTTCCACGCGATCAAGATGATCCGTGTACGTCAACGGGGAGAATGGCGAAGATCTTATTTCTTTTGAAAAGAGATTACAAGAGCTTGAAACTACACATCCCTAACAATGGTGGAATATAGATCTCTCTTTTTTTCTTGTTTTTAAACCCATGGATTGATACAATATATATAGAGGTTGATTTTGCTCAATCGTATTAGCACTCTAACTTGAACCCTAACTGGATTTCCCAATTCAATTAATTACTTCAATCCAATTCTAATTAGGATAGTATAACTAATCCTAATTAGAGTCCACACCCAATCCTGCTTCTCAACTGATTTGAGTCATCACGAACTCAACAATCTCCACTTTGACTCACATCACGTTGAATCAATCCTTTGCGAAGATTTTCTAAAATTAACCCCCACTTTATACAACTCCCTCCCAAGAGTATTTCTCCAAAGTTACTTCTGAAGAACGTGGATGAAGTCTAGAGATGCTTTGAACTTCTCCACTGGATATTTGTCGGATTCTTCTTTGTACTGATCTTCACCAATTCGATCACTTTTTCCCTGTCAATCCACTCTCAGATCTTGTGATACCTGATTCAATGTGCTTCGTCCACTTGTGATACCGCTGATCCTTCGCAAGATTAATCGCGTTCTGACTGTTACAATGAATAGGTACTGAATCCTGCATGATGTCAAACATCCTGACCAAACCCCCGCAATCATAGAACTTCCTTCGATGCCTCAATTGTAGCTATGTACTCCGCCTCAATCGTCGAAAGAGTCATAGTTTCCTGTAACTCAGCCTTCTAACTAATGGCACAGTTAGAAACTGTGAATATATAACTCGTAGTTGACCTCCGTTGATCAAGGTCGTCTGCGTAATCTGCATCGACGTATCCCTATAATTTTTGGACCCCTTATCCTCCAAAGACTGAAATAATAGGTCCACCTTTGCAGTCCCTCGTAGATAACACAGAATCTACTTTACCACCTCCTAATGCTGATTTCCTGGTTTTGACATTAATCGACTTACTGAACTTACTGCATAGGCTAAGTCAGGCCTAGTGCAAATCATAGCATGCATCAACGATCCCACCACACTCGCATATGGTATCCAAGACATTTTTTCTTGCTCCTCAACTGTTTGTGGACACTGCTTTGAGGATAATTTGAAGTGAACAGTTAAAGGAGTAGAAACCGATTTTTCTTCATCCATGTTGAACCTTTTCAACACCTTGAGAATATAATTCTCTTGGGACAACCAAAATTTGCCAAAAACCTTGTCTCGTGAGATCTCCATACCTAAGATCTTCCTGGCTTCTCTCATATCCTTCATGTCGAACTCCAACTTCAGTAACTACTTGACTTTCTCGATTTGTGCCCTTTCCTTTACAGCTATTAGCATATCATCCACATATAACAGCAAATATTTTGGATGCCTAGTCTGCATGTAATAGACATAATTATCACACTCACATCGATTGAAGCCGTCCTTGATTATGAATGAGTCAAAGTGGTTGTACCACTGCCTCGAAGATTGTTTGAGCCCGTACAGAGACTTCTTAAGAAGACAAAACTTCTCCTCTTCACCTTCGCAGAGATATCCCTTAGGCTGCTTCATGTAAATTTGCTCCTCTAATTCTCTATGTAGAAATGTTTTTTTAATGTCCATCTGCTCCAAGTCCAAATCATACTGTGCAACAATAGTCAACAACAAACGAATGGACGTATGTTTGACTATGGGAGAAAAAATCTCATTGTAGTCCACTCCTTCCTTCTGAACATATCACTTGGCAACTAACCTTGCCTTGAATTGCTCACCATCTTTCTTCTGAAAGATCCACTTGCAACCAATCATCTTTGAGCCTCTTAGAAGATTAACCAGAACCCACGTCTGATTCTTCTCCAAAGATTCCATCCCTTGCTCCATGGCTGTAATCCACCTGTCACGATCATCTGCTTCAACGGCCTCTTTGTAGCTACATAGGTCTCCAGCTTCTATGAATAAAGCAAAAGATACGTGATCATCGTCTTCCCACCATATATAGTAGGTGGAACCACTGTACGGATCGAGCGTCTCAATGCTATTGGTCGGTCCTCTTGTGTAGTAGCTCTGTCTCCATCGCTGGTTGGAGTCTCATCAGTAGGCCCACTAGGGCTAGCAGGGCTTTCCGAAAACTCCACCTCCTGTACCCGAGAATCTGTGGAAGCATCTGGAGCTCCACCTTGTGCCTTGTCTCCTGTCTTTGAATCTGCCCGCATGATAGCGTCTTCATCAAAGACCACATCTCTACTAGTAAAGGCATCGTGAGTCTCGGGATCCTATAACCGGTACCCTTTGACTCCAAAAGTGAATCCTATAAAGATACACTGTCTCGACTTGGACTCCAGCATGTTTCTCTTCGGACTGTCTACAAGACTATATACGCTTGACAACTAAATATGCATAAAGCAGATGGTGATCTGTTAATCAAATAACACGCATGATTTACCACTTCCGCCCAAAAACCTTCAGACATGTCTACTTGTAATAAGAGACTATAGGCTCTTTCCATCAATGTCTGATTCATACGTTCAGCTACTCCATTTTGTTCTGGTTGTCCTGGCACACTTAATTGATGTTGGATACCTTCATTAGTCAAGTACTCTTTGAATTCCCCGAAGGTATACTGATGCGGCATAAACATGTACCAAAAATATTACAAGTGCACAACTGTGTCAAGTTATAGTATAAAGATATCGATCCCACGAGGAAGGTGTTTTGTAGGAAAAAATATAAAATCGGTTCTTATGTTGTGTGCGTGACAAATAGGAGTGATGAGTGAATGTGATTGTGGAGAGATGGAGAGAATGAAAATGATTGTGTAAATGAATATATTTGAGAGTGGAAGTGATAATATAAATGTGATCAACAAGGCAGGAAGGAAAAATCAAGAATAAATAAAAATCAAAAATGAAAAATAAAATTTAAGAAAGTAAAGATGGTAGATTCAATTAAATATATGGGTAATCAAAAATTAAACCAACTTCTTAGAAAATGGTGATTCCCTAGAGGGTTCTAGCCTAAAGGCGAATCAAAGAAAATAAAAATAAACAAAAAAAAACTAAACCCAAGAGGGTTCTAACCTCAAGGTGAATAGTACAAAAAATTAAAATCTAACTACAAAATAAATTATAAAATCTAAACTACAAAATAAATTGCAAGAATTAAATACAAGAAAATAAATCTACTCTATAAGCATAAAATAAATCTAATCTATAAGCATGAAATAAATCTAAGGCAAGAGGGTTCTAGCCTCTTGGCTATTTAACAAGAAAATAAAATCTAATTACAAGCATAGAA